GGATCTCTGGGCACAGAATAAGATAAGAAGCTGTATATCACCCTGGGTACCATCACACCAAAGATAAGAAGCTGTATATCACCCTGGGTACCATCACACCAAAGATAAGAAGCTGTATATCACCCTGGGTACCCTTGCACCAAAGCAGGGCTCAACAAGCTTGTCAGGGTGACACCAATGTGCGGCTGCTGGCGCATGACTGTGCACTGGCCTCTGGTGATTTTCCACAGCATTGTCAATACATCTGCTTACATTCTCTGTACTGAAACACATCTGGAATGCATTGGCTACATTACATAAAATTTTGCTGTTTATTAAAAATGAATAAAAACTCTATTGACAAATCTTTGGTCAAAGTTCTTGACCAGCCGCTATGCTAAATCAAGAGCAAAACCAGCCTTGTTAGTCTATTGGCCCCGACCCACCAGCTCACGCAGATTACGGAATTTAAGATTAGTTTATCGTATTACAGGCATCAATCTACATCCAAGCCAGATGGAACGTACATCCACACACTGACAACTGTAGCCACTATAGTTGCCAAGCTACAACTAAGCTAAGCTACACATTTTTCATTTTATGGGATTACTGACATCTCTGCAACCAGCCACAGGACACAGGAATCTGTGGTCACAATACAGCACAATGTAGAACAATGATTGCAGTGTTACCACAAATAAGCAATAAATGTAAGGTAAGGCAGTTTATCATCCAGGGTGATGAACAAGAATGAGGCCAAATGAAGCTGAACCAGGCTGGGTTTTTCATGTTCTGGTTTTTCAGTTTTAATCAGGATCTCAGGCTCAGGCATTAATTGTAAGGTCATGACGTAATAAAAAATTAACTTGGCAATCCCAGTCCTATGATAAATGCAGGAGTATAACGTTCATCCATCCATCTTCCAAATTGCTTATCCAGTACAAGGTCATGGTGAGCCTGCAGCCTATTCCTGGCAGCACAGGACACGCACGCAATTTACACATGGCAATTCATCTAAATCAGTGTTTCCAAATCCGGTCCTCGGAGACTCCCAGATAGTCCATGTTTTTGCTCCCTCCCAGCTCCCTGCCAGTTTTGGAAAACCGTGGACTGTCTAGGGGTCCTGAGGTCCAGGCTGGGAAATACTATATAGTCGTACTGTATATATCACTAAGTAATCACATGGCTTTGCGTTTGTTATACTGGAAAAAAAATTTATTAATGTCTGATTTTGCACAAAATAACAATTATTTGTCAGATTAAAGGAGCCCGACTACTCTCTTCCCTGGTCTTGATCTAACCCAAAAAAAATTTCGTTTGTTTGTTTTTATTTTTTTTTTTAATTATCATCAACGTAGCAAGCTATTTAGTCCTACATTTCTGGCACTAACACGGAATCACTACCATTGTGATATGCGACTTTGAATCAGACTGGAAGTGTTATGTACATTTCTGAGTTTTTTTGGGTCTACATCTTCAGTAGCATATTGCTTTTCATTCTTTGTTGAATTACGTGTTTTCTACAGCAGCCACTGCCAAAATCGGACTGGTGTAAGGCAAAGAGAGAATATAAAGGAGATCTGAAAATGCGAAGCGGAGATGGGCAAACCCTGCTGGCTCTAGGCATCAAATTGATCCTGTAATTCATCTGTGACAAACCCACTTGCTAAGGGAGCTGGTGAGTCAGCCTAATGATGTAAAAATTGCCTCTCACTAAGACGTTATAATATGGAATAAGGACCAACAAACCTCTCATTTGTCCCCACATTCTCTGAATGACATGCTTTATCACTGTTTGCAAGAAACCAAAACCATTTCAAGTGATTTACAATTATTACATGAAAAAATATAATACGTAAATTATATGCACATACACACACACACACACACACACACACACACACACACATATATAGGTAGTTTCATGTTTAATTATCTATCTATACATTTTTTTGCTATATACAGTAGATGCATAATGTATTTTGTCCAGTTTTGTTTCTGTTTTCGTTGTTTCTCTTTTACACAGATACACATTTTTACTCAAGAATGCATATAAATATTACATTTGTTACTGTGAATAACCCGGTTAAGCAATTTGCATCAATACATAGGTGATATCTCTAGAAAGTGTACCAGAACATATTCCCTTGCACGCAATTTTTTAGGCTACCCAGGCATAATGAATACCCCAGTGTGTAAACATAGCTGATAAGCTCTCCTAAGAAGACGTGCAGCGTATAAACGAAACTGTTGGAACACAGGTCCAGCCATCTCACTCCACTGCATGCAGTGCAAGATTGGAAAACAATAATTTATTGGAAAGCAACAACTGGCACCTTGCATAGTATTAAACCCATTCGGTCCGTTTTGTTTACTCAGACAGCTTGTCCATGATCTGTGGCTGTGTTTCCAAACTTTGTCCACTGGAGGACTTTCTTGGTAGAGAGACAGAAGCTCTTACTACATAGACAGGAGCTGGGAATAAGCAGATTGTGATTTTTCTTAAAAAATGAATCAATACTAGCATAAGTAATACTAGTAACAGTATATGCAGAGTATATGCAATAGCAGTACAGTATATATCATAAATTGTTTGAATTCACACGGACTCCCTTACGTGTTAATAGTATGGAAGGCTGCAATTTATCTAGACACTAGAGGGCTCTAAAACACATCAGAATACAGAAGGTTCTACAAATAAATCTCTAACTCTTTCTGGGAAAAGAAGGCATTAATTTTTTTTCCCAGAGTAGAGAGGAAACAATGTTGGCATCATATGCTGATTGTACTGAGCAGGAATAAGAATGACTAAATTATCGTATGTGGATGGTCAGCAGGTACAAGCCCACCGGAAGTGGCACATTTGAGTGGAAAATTAATGGACACATGAGTGTAATCTGTCAAAAAGATTGTGCTGCCTTAGCAGTTCATCATGGTGGATGTGACAGGGATACTGTTTTACCCCCAGGGCGTCCAGAAAAAGAAAATCATGAGCAAGTATTAGTATTAGTTCATAGATTCCATAAAACAGAGAGATGTATTTATGTCTTGAGATGCCCAAAATGTTGTTTTTATATTTTAGATGTTTAAAGTTTCAAAATATTGATTTATTTTTATACAGACAAACTTCATAGTTTTAACTATACAGGCATTGCTTGATATGGTGTTATAGGAAGGCTGTCCCACTCAAAACTGATGATAAAGTTACTAATAGTAATTAAGATTAAATTATCATACCAAATAATGACATTTAAAGGGTTTGTCATCAATCATACAAACCATTTCATGAATCAGTAATAAAAATGTTGAAATGGAAAGCAGCTCCTAGTGCAAACTTATACAGGATTCAAAGTCTCTTCAGTGACTATTTCTTAATTATAAGTTACCAGTTCCGTTAAATCTACCTGCTAACAACAGAGTATTGTGATTTGTGATATTTTTGGTAAAAAAAACAGCAAGGCAACACTTTACTTGAAGCAGTCTACATAAGGGTGACATGTAATCATCATAAGAATGACATGACACATGTCTTGCACATTAATGACACATTATTGATGTTTATGACTGTTGTCATAATGTGTCATTCGGTTTTTGGAACTGAATGACACATTATGACAACAGTCAGTTAATTTATTTTTCTGCTTATACAGAAACCAGAGGTTAGTTTTGTCGTTAAATCTGCAGCCCTTAACCCAGTTAATATGAATAAGTAGCAATCTTTCAACTGGAAAATGCAGAATTTAGTTGATCTTGCTTGATTGAAATCATTTTGATTCCACAGCGCAAAGATAGTCATTCATTTGTCTCAGAGGCAACTTTCCAAAATCAATTTGAAGTTTGACATTAAACCGTTTATCAGGTCATTTCTTAGGTAAGTCTCTGAGCAGGTCAGTGGTTCAGGGTCCTACAGCTGCAAAGTATTACTGAAGTTTTGCCATGAAGTCGCTGTTTAGTGCACATATGGTAAAGTGGAATTCAATTGTCCGCTTGTTTAATGTAAGCCATGGTTTAATTCCACTCACTAGGCTGTTTAACAGACAAGTTCAGATGCTCCACTCATTCACACGCAGCAGACTTAGAGATGTTTATTTGCTGGATGCAGTTGCAGTGTTTGTCCAGTGATTAAGTTTGCCTCTCTGCCAAATACTTTACTTCAGTTGATAGGCAAATAATTAGAGCAAACAAATGTGCTAGTTCACAAAACTAAGGTGACTATTTTCTGTAAAATAAAATGCAATCAATGCATGCAACTGCTTAGTAAATGTTCTGTTTCTCTTTGTCATAAATGACAGTAAAATCTATATTTCTAAGAGAGATCGAGATGTCTATCTGGAGTTTCCTTATTTTTCTGCAGGAAGGCACTGGCTTGTTGACTTCCTCCCCCCTCCCTTCCTTCCTTCTTTCCAAAGGTACTCATCTGAAAAATGAGAACAAAGTGATTGTTCCTGTTCTCTTTCTTGAGCCACTTCAAACGTGGATCCGAGGGGCCGACGGCTCATTGTCAGAAGCGTGAGGTAAGCGACAGAGCGTGCAGTGCAGAGGCCAGAGAGGCTGCGGTAAGTGTGCTGGTCCCCCTCCGGCGTGCATGTTGCTGGCTCACACACAGCTCTGCTTTGCATGTGCATGCAGATCCCTAAAAACGACGGGATGAGACTGACTAGAAATTGTCATTTGATGCAGGGGCATTAGAAAATTATGTGAAAATCTGCTGCACAAATTTAATGCTAAAATTGTTTATATGGTTCCTGCAGAGAATTTGTGATGCTGCACTAAATAAACATGCAAATAAATATCAAAAGCACAAAATGATAAACAAGTAAATGTTGAAATATATTCCGTATATTTTCTATATACATATTTTGTTCAGTTATATGCATTTAAATAACTGCAGTAAAATTCATTTACTTGCACATGTGTCAATACATCTTAGTAATAGTAGACTCAAAATTCATATTTTGTACAGACCATCCAAGAATGATTTGTACTGACACATGCTTTATTTTTTTCCCTTTTTGCAAGCAAGTGAGCAAGCGAGCATGCAAAACTTAAGAGAAAAGAGATTGAATTTAATGAAAATCTTACAGAAAAAGAACAGCAAGCAGTTAAGTGTGAATGAGTAATCCAATAATCAGAATTTCTTTTTCTAAATATATTTATTCATATAAACTGCATATTTTTATAGGTTCTCTATGCTGTTTGGAGTCATGCACAGAACAATTTTTAATTTATTTTACAGGAATTATCATGAACGTAGATATTTCATGCGTTTTTTCCTCAAAAAGGCTTTTGGAAGAAATATACCAGGAATGCAAAAACAATAACTTCAACATCCAAAAAAAGTTTTTATGAAAAATATACAGTTAATAATATTGCGATAACGTTGGTTCAGGGTTGTCCAAAAATCTTATTTTTGGGAATCACTATTACTATAATTAAACATGATAATAACTAGACTTCAAATGGAATGCACAGAAAACTATAACCAATGGGCAGGAGAGCTGGAGAAATGGTTAAAGCCTAGCTGTCAGGTTGATCTCATGAAAATGAAGTAAGCATGCAGAGAGCCCCATTCCGACAGGTGTTGATGGAATAATCTCCCAAGGGTTTATTCACTGAAACAATTTTTCTGAGAACCAAATACAAACAATGATTCTATTGTTGCATTTTAGATTTGTAGAGTGGATCCTATAAGCAGTTGTCAACTACTGCTTCCTTGAAAAGTGATTGGGTTATTTGTTCATGATTTCATTTTAGAGATGCAATTGCCTGTGGAAAGAACACTTTGCGCCTTTTATATATCATTGCTTTTGATGGGCCAGACTGTACAGTGTTGTATTTTACATTTTTAGAAATCTTAAGGTGTATTAAATAGGCTTTTCAGACACAATCTCGAATAATGAGCAGTTTTAATAAATTACCCTGTACTTTCATTTGAAAAATCATAAACGAATCAGAAATGTTTTATTTCTGATTTCTGTCTTAAAGAGACTGACTTTCTTTGTCCTAATATAGTGTATATATACAATACATTTGACGACATACATAAGTACCACCTATTGTGCTTCATTTCTGAGTGCCATTGGGTTTATTATCTTTAAACTGTGTTGAGCTTGAACTACTGCCAATGTTTTTTTTTTAATAATCATTTATAATATGTCCTATTATGCTGTAACACTGTTCCTAAATTATAGTTACCATTGTTTGCAAAATGTTTATTTCATAATTTGAATATCGTATTACGATTTTATTGCAAACTATGCTTTATTTGTGTGTATTATGGTATGTCATAGTAGTTGTTCCTTTCAGGAAAACAACTCAGTGAAGACAGGGAGATGATCTGGGTACAAACCCACTAAAAATGGCCAACAATAAAAAAAAAATGATCTGAAATTAGTAGAGCAAGAAAATAGAGAAATGTTCACCCTTCCATCAAGGTGAAAAGACAAATAAGGTAGTTTCCCAGGGAGAAGCGAAAACAGGTTGGTTCGGTTAGGAAGATGGCAAAGTAAAGAGAGGTGAGCTTATCTCGGTTTATTTCCCTTTTCTGTGCTGCGCTCTGAGAAGCTGTGAGCAGATCCCTGTCCGCACATGGATTAGAGAAGTTCTGAAAGGGTTGTGAGTTAGAAAGTGAGCAGAGTGAGGTGGTTATGACTCACCGTGTCTGGTTAGGTGGCTGCCTCACAACAGAAGAATCATTATTTTTAGCTAATGAAACGTGATCTTGCCTGATTCTCTCCATGGGACCTAAATGGGAGTAAATGCACGACATGAGGTTGAGGTTTGGATATAGGGAACGGGAGCTTTTCAAAAGGGTGTATGTTCCTTATCTACACAGGGATTCACAGCTGCCGTCTAGGCATGGGTGAATGCAACAACAAGTGGAAACGATTAACAGAAGAAGAAATTGGTTATGATTCATAAAAAGCATTGCAACTGCCTATTCTGAAATTGCTCTTATATATGTGTTTAGTTTAATTCTATATTTAGCTATCATTACACTCAATTTCTAAGTTATTCTTAAAGTAAATGGTTTCTCATGAATCAATTTTCCCTACTTGTGAATTAAGTATATTGTTGCTTCCTTTTTTAGGTAGACAATGGAGACTGACATAGCTAAGGCAGTACAAGAAAGGGGTCCCTTTGGGGGCAATCTCAAGGCAGTCAGACCTTGTCTGAAACCTCTGTCATTTTCCTGTAAACCCCGGGCTTTTGCCCCTCTAGTGGATCCTCTCAGCAGGGGCTTCCCTCAATTCAGCCCACCAGTCCTGCTGGGCTACGATCGCCTCCAGCCCCCAGCAGAGGCAGTCTCCTGGATGCACAAGATGGCGCCTTTCAAACGGAAACCCCAGGACATCAAAAGCCCTGACGAGCTACTGGAGGGGCGAAGCGCGCTGGGCATGGACCTCCCGCACCACGCCCCATACCCCCTCCTCCAGCCCAGTCCTGGTCCGCCATCCAAGTTCAGCCCTCAGATGATTGACTTGAACCGATTCAAGTTCTACAGAAACCTGGGAAGGTTTGATCCTAAGAGAGTGAAGCAGGAACCGGTTAGCTCAGATGGAATGTGGCCTCCTTCCCATGTCATAATGCCCTCTCCGTCTCCGTTCTTCCCAGCCTTACACTCTGGCTTGATTCCCTACCCTTTCCTCATACCAGGCCCTGCCATGCATCTCCCTCCACACAGCTTTTACCAACGGGAGCCCTTGGGAGGTCACCACAGAGGGATGCCTGGAACTCAGAGCGGGGCCACCGGGGTGGAGAAGCTAGGGCTCAATGTCCACGTGGACGACAGCTACTACGTGGACGTAGGCGGCGAGCAGAAGCGTTGGAAGTGCCGTATGTGCGAGAAGTCCTACACATCGAAGTACAACCTAGTCACCCACATCCTGGGCCACAGCGGCATCAAGCCGCACTGCTGCAGCCTTTGTGGGAAGCTCTTCAAGCAGCTGAGCCACCTGCATACGCACATGCTCACGCACCAGGGCACCCGGCCGCACAAGTGCCAAGTGTGCCACAAGGCCTTCACGCAGACCAGCCACCTGAAGCGGCACATGATGCAGCACAGCGACGTGAAGCCGTACAGCTGCGGCGTGTGCGCGCGTGGCTTCGCCTACCCCAGCGAGCTGCGGGCGCACGAGATGAAGCACGAGAAAGGGCAGGAGAACGTGTGTGTGGAGTGTGGCCTGGACTTCCCCACGCTGGCCCAGTTGAAGAGGCACCTTACCACCCATCGCGGCCCAACACAGTACAGCTGTACCGAGTGCCAGAAGACGTTCCAATACCCCAGCCAGCTGCAGAACCACATGATGAAGCACAAGGATATCAGACCATACATCTGCACTGAATGTGGCATGGAGTTCATCCAGTCCCACCATCTGAAACAACACACTCTTACTCACAAGGTGGGATAGTTTAAGCACATCCTTTATCTGGTAACATTCAGTGCGCCTTCATAATGCATTCACAGAACATTCATAAGCAGCATGTAAGTATACCTTAACATCCTAACATACTGCAACAACTTTAAAATACATTAATAAGAAACATTTTTTGATTACATAGTTATGTTTGTTATTATTATTTAAGGTTTGTACTTAAGGTACTACATCTGTTAAAGTATCTTAGGACGCTTATGAATGCTGCTTATGAATGTTCTATGAATGCATTATGAAGGTACAGTCAATGTAAAGCATTACCCACTATTTTATTTTTCTCTGTATAATTAAATGCACGTGTGTAGTCCCTTTTCAATAATATTGAAACTATTATGGCTTTTTATGAGCTAAATTTTAATAATGAACTAGTAAATGCTGACCATGTATCATTAACGAAAAACCACATGGTACAGATTAATTTTGCTACAATGGCGTACACTCTTTTAGGGGGTTAAGGAGCACAAGTGTCGGATTTGCGGACGAGAGTTCACCCTGTTGGCAAACATGAAGCGCCACGTCCTGATCCACACCAACATCCGCGCCTACCAGTGTCACCTGTGTTTCAAGAGCTTTGTGCAGAAACAGACCCTCAAGGCCCATATGATCGTCCACTCAGACGTGAAACCCTACAAATGCAAGGTGAGTCCTTCCTCTGCACCAGGGAGACTGAAATATCTATACAGAAGTATTTTTGGAGGAAGTGAGAGCAAAACAGGTATTTCCCCCTTTACCGTAGGGAAAAGGTTGATCATCAATCATATGCATTTGAGGTAATAATATACTATTTTCGTGTAGTAGGTGGCACATCCTTTACGTTATACATACAAAAATATTTTAAACATGTATGATGTGCTACACATGCATGGGTAATAATGAAGACAGCAGGTATGTGTACTTAGCAAAGAGCCAGTAGATTGGGGGGGGTGGATGTCTGACCTGCAGAGGGAGGGTTACGATGATGACCAGATAGCTGCATTTTGGCACAGAGCACCTCTTCAGCTAAAGGAAGGATATCGCTGCACAAACTGCCTTGGTAACAATGGCTCTTGACTCCCCCGAGAACAGGAACGCAAATAGATTTCATCTCGCTTTCTCTCATGCCTGGGGGGAGCACTTCCTGTTTTCTCACGGTCCTTTCGGACAGTTTACAGTCCCTCTCTCCTCCTGAAGGAAAGGAACACCCTAGTAAAAAAAAGAATGCAGAGGAAGGAGAGCAGGAGTGGCGGTTCCAGGCTTCCACTGGCTTGTCTGCCTTCCACTGGCTTCCTCTCGCTCCAGTGGCTGCTCATTCATGACATTCTCCAGCTCCCCTCCTACCCGCACAGGCCCAACTGCCTTCTGCTGGGCAAGGGAGGGATGCATGCAGCTTTATTTTGTTTATTCTACATGTATGCAAATAAAATTAAACATGTATCTGGCATCAGTTTGAACTTCCAGAAATACCTTTTTAAACTGTCCATAAAAAAGCCATAACCATATTGCACTCTTGTGCCACGCACTATATCTATGAGCAGATTAATTTGTTATGTGTAGAGATCAGTTTACATCACTGAAGAAGCTTTTGCATATTTCTATGAGCATAAATTAGGATAACAGCCTTAAGCCCTGACTTCTGTAGCACCGTGAAGTCCATGTCCTAGTAGCAGCAATGAGGCTGATCATGGTGGATCACTACCTGCAAAACATTTTTAATGATGGTTCTTCTTTGTTTCCAGCTCTGTGGGAAGGAGTTTAACAGGATGCACAATCTGATGGGCCACATGCACCTGCATTCCGACAGCAAGCCCTTCAAGTGCCTGTACTGCTCCAGCAAATTCACCTTGAAAGGAAATCTGACGAGACACATGAAGGTCAAACATGGCATCATGGAAAGAGGAGCCCATGGATGGGGTAAGAGTCTGAGGCTCACTTTTACTTCCCCGAAATACATTCTTATATAATATAAATGTAACTGGGGCAGTGTGTAGCTTCTGTGCATTTGGATACTGTGAGTGTTTCACAATACCAAGAATGCAAAGATCATACTTGTGTTCTTGGCAAGACTGTTTTCATGAATAATTTGCTAGAATTTCCAAGCTTAAATATCAAAATAAATAACACGAATACTATCACACTCACAACCTTGAGTTCAAATAATGAAATAGTTAAGTAAATTAATGGGAAGAACTATGTGTGTACTGTGACACAGAGGAGAGTGTTTAGTGTCATTTATCGTTGTTTAGGTTTCAGAGAGAGGGGGAGGTTTCATCTGCCCGCAGACTTAAGCGTTATCAGCCAATTTAGCCAGGAGGAGCCTTTCGACCTCTCTAAGAAGACCAAAGGGAAATCCCGGCTCTCCCAGTCAGATGGGGACAGCGCCCAAGGTAGCTTGTGCCTGGAGGAGGATGATGACAGCCTCTACAGGATGAGCCAGTACAGCTCAGAGGATTACCAGCCCAGCAACCGTGCGTTAGATTCTGAGGAGGTCTTTTTTGATGGCAAATCCCCAGATCAAGAAGAGGTAGACGATGGCGAAGGTGGCGAAGGTGGGGAAGAATTGAGCAAGGAGCCTATGAAAATGGAAACTTGTGAAAATAAAATGCACCTGCTATGTGGGGAAAAGTCTTCCCTCATTAAGCTTCCCAGCCAGCAGATGTCTCCAGGCAAGAACCCGAACATCAATGGTATCTCACAAGAAAGCTGTGAAAACCAATGAAAACCGTTCACTTTGAGAGATTTTTAGCTCTTTCATGTGAATTCACTTGATTTCTAAAGAAAAAAAAGCTGTGAATAAATATTGTGTCCTATTATTTTGCTATCATGTGCGTAGAATGCCTGACTAGGCAGACAAACATCTGGAATATTTGCTGGTAAATGAGATACAAAATATGTGTTGATCTGTGTTCAGATAACTCTGAATTTAAAATGCCTGTTATCTATTTTTAGAATAATATATACAATATAACTATTGTTATACATATAAATGTATATAACTATTGTATTATATGCATATATAACAATGAATAAGTTAGACATGAAGCCGTGTAAAATTTATATTCAGAGTTTACTCTTTTTTTTTTAGCAAAAATTATTTTTTTACTTTTGGGTAGTACTGCGTTCATGTGGATCATTTTAATACTTTTGCTTATATTGTTGTTTTGACAACATGCCCATTCTGTAACATGACAAAAACTTTAACATAATAAAATGTATTAAATTGCTGTGTACAAATAAATGCTCAGATGTAGGTCTGCCTATCAGAAAGTAATTAGTGAGTTGCACAGTTGCACAAACGTTTGCCTCACCACAGAAATATATAGATATAAATGTACAGAAGGTGCAATAGAAATGAGAGGTTAACAGAACACCATGACCTGGAAGATTCCAACAGCATGACACAGAGAGGGGTGTGCGCAGACAGGGGGATGCTGAGAAATGATATTGCCAGCTGCAAGGTCAGGTGACCTCATCCTTTTCATGCATATGCAGTTGGGTGAATAAAAGATAAGACTAATAATTTCAGACACGTGCATAGACATTATCCAAAGCAGGGTCATAGTTAGTTTGGAGCCTATCTCAGCAAACACCCTGGAAAGGTAGTCAGTCCATCACAGGCACACACACATAATTTATTAATCCATGTAAATTGTCTTTGGATTCAGAGAACTCATAAAAAAGAGTGGAAATGCATGCATGCATATGGAGTCTGGAACTGTGCCGAACAGTCCTGGAGATGCAAGACTATAATGCTGCTCACTGTAATACACGCTTCTGACATTAATAAATAATATCACTAAACTCCATCCATCTTCCAACTGCTTATCTTTGTCAGGGATACTGGGAATATTGCTGACCTGCTATATATAACGAAATACAATCTGCTGCCAATATGAGCTTTTAGACTCACTTAAACAGAAATGGAAAAAGCAAATGAAAATAACCACTTTTCCTAAAGATGGATTGTGTCAGGAAACCCATGTGAAGATGAGCAAAGCCCTCAAGAATCCATCATAATGACCTCTTCTAAAGCGTCCGCTCAGACCTTTCAAACAAAAAAGGTATAATACCTCTCTGTGAACTGTTCACACATTTCCCATCTTTGTGCATTATGCTAAAGAGGAATGCGCAGACAACCACGTTTGCATCAGAACTAAAAAATGTTGAGAAAACAATGAAACCAATGCTTTTTCTCCTGCATAGCAGGGTGCAGGATCAAAGGGCAAAGCAATTTATTCAGATGTTCAGTTTTACGGAATTATTTATGTATATCACCTTGTTCCAAGAGCTAGGCTTCCTGATTCAACAGGTCTGCATGGGCTAGTATAGAGTCAAAGTATCCCTGTTTTCCCTTGTAGCTTATAGATATATATTTATATATAGTCAAAGGCATCACTCAAAGAGCCTTCAGACAAAATTAAGATCAAAGAAATGTATAAACACAGACACTATAATACTTTTACAATTAAATGATTATCTTACAGTGTTACAAGAGGGCCCTGTTTTTCATTATTTTCTGGTACCTATTTTTTTTTCCTGCTAGTGGCCAGTGAGTCCATCCCATTGGGTGACAGTGCTGTGCTTATGGATGCCCCTTTGGCTGCTGCATATCTCCAGTGGTTCTTCATCACCTGCAAAATTTCTATCATGGAAAAAAAGCTGCACAAAAGGGAGAGGATTAGACTGTTGTGAACTCTGGTTCTTCTATTAAAAAAAAAAAAAAAAAGGCTTACTTCCCCCTTGTTCCTCCTCACAAAGGAAAGGAAGTGGGAGTGAAAAATTCTTCATGAAAACCTTCAAGCTCTTGTTCAAACAAGGCCTCTTCACCTTTGTGTCTCAAACAAATTACCTCAAAGCTATTGTATTGATATATAGTAGCATTGTTATGTTTTAATTTTTTGGACGGATGCGTCAAAAAATTACTTGATTATATATTTAGGCATTCAACCTTGCCACAGAATAAGCAAAACAGCTATATGTCTTAAAATATTTATATCCATTTGAGCTCATTGGGGATTTAAATTTTTTTTAAGATTTAAATTTTTTTTTTTTTTACTTCACTAGCGTTAAATTCAACGCTTCAAAATTTGTTCCAAAATAATTTCAGCCAATGCACCACAAACGTAGAGGAGAAAATAACGGCAAGACTGAAATTTTTTTCTTGCCAAATTAGGTAGCGACAGTCAGACATGGAGTGAAGTGAAACTCCTGGATGAGTTAATAGAGAAGGGCTCCATTAAATGGTCTCTTTTTGATGGGAAAAGGTGTTCTGTGGCAGAAAAAGAAAGAAGATGTGGCTTAAATACATGGGGCACATTTCTACTTTTCAAGTTACACATTTGAGTTCTTTCTGAAAGCTTTCCACCTCTTACCGATATCTACAGACATATTATTCAGTTCCAATAGTTTCACAAATGAAAGAAAAAAAAAAGTTTCCGTGACTTCTACCATTTCCATGGTCTTGCAATGTTACTGTACACTTAATAGTTCCTTTCTGTTATCCTAGTTTTTGCATATTTAGTCCCACAGGGATTTTTTGAAAAAAAACGTACATCACTCTGTTCTTGTGCCTCTTGTCATATGATGAGGCCCTTCTCTTTTAGAATTTGCTTCCCATCAATTTTGAGCAAGATGCTGAATCATCTGGCCATTTGTGGACTTGGATAAAGCATTTTTCAATGGATGGCAAATTGCTGACAACTTCAAATATAACTTTCTGGAGATGTCAGCGGAACGTTACAGGTAGCCTGTTAATTAACATACTGGAAAGCTGTTTTAAATGTGAGACTGTCTGCGAAATGATCACATATTAACTAAGATACACTGACGTAAAGCAATTGTGCAAACCAGTACTGATTAAATACAGTATCAGGTCAGGTCAGGTTGGGGAGCATGTGCTGATGCAGCGCGTTGCCGCACCCACCACACGACGAAAGTCCTCGGGATCCCGGCCGGTGACCCCCCAGGCAGATACACGGTCCAGTCCCACCCTCCGGAAATGCCCATCCATCTGCCACAGCCAGGTGTTATGTGGGCGTCCCCTTGGCCTGGTCCAGCTGCTCAGGTCCTCAGCAATGAGGATCATGCGAGTCGGATCACCCTCAGGGAAACGTGTCACATGGCCGTAGTGCAGTAACTGATGCTCCCTCACAGTGCAGGTAACGTGCCTCATTTGGGACTCCCTGAGCTACTGCTCATTCAACAAAATCAAACCAGCGGTACCCAAGGATTCTCTAAAGAGACAAAGTACCAAAGGAATCTTTGTCTCAGGTCACTGGATAGTGTCAATATCTCACAACCATACAGCAAGACAGGGAACACCAGGACTCTGAAGACTTGGACCTTCGTCCTCTTGCAAAGATATTGGAAGAACCACCAACCCCTTTCCAGTGACCTCATGACCCCCCCATGCTCTCCGGCATGGCAGCCATCAGACTGACCAGACCAAAAGTTGGTATACCCACCTACAGAGATCTGGGCACTCCCCGGTCTGCGTACCTGAGAGAGCGCTGCCACGGAAACGTGGACTTTACGAAGATCCCCTGACAGCAGAAGAAGATGGTCAACTTGCCAGAGAGACAAGACATTCCACGTGCCTATCAGGATGGGCCGCCTCAAGCTGGGGCCCAAGTGCCGCCATACAGCAGGCGACGCCTCAGCTCCACACCAGCCCTGATCCCCAACAAGCCTATTAGCTCTCCCACGGTTTTGACTTATACAGTAACCACCTGTAAGAATTGTGAACATATGAACTTATGAATACAATAATGCACAAAAAATTGCTAACATGAAAATTACAGAACAAACGTATATTTGTAAATTTAGTTCTGGAAGACGTCTAAAATACATTTTATAAATGCATTTTTCAGGAAAGCTCACAATCACAAATGCATTTCATCCACCCATCCATCCATTTTTTTTCTAACCATACATCCAGTACAAAGACTCAAGGCATTCAGTTAATCTTTATGTACATTTTTTAAATGCAGCAACATTTGAATGGGATTTTACCTTAGGTTACATACAAATAAAACTACAGGGGTCTCCCAGACCAGAAATAATGACAAGGAGTTTCCCAAAGAAAACACTGATGTGCTCAACAGAACCCTTCACTGCAAATCAGACCACAAATGAACATGGCAAAAAGGGCGGATCCACAAAAACAGCGGTGTGTACCGTCTGCATACTGACAATAACCAGTTTGTATGTGTTGTAGTTCCAGTTTTATTCAATCCAGGCCAACAGCTGGAACTGCAACGAGTCTACAAGCAAAGGGAGGACAGATACGCCTGCTGCCATCGGCGATGCCTCGTCTCGTCCCTCACTATTCAGAAGCCAATTCCGTGGATGTCGTCTTTAGCCTATGTCATGAAATGCAATCAGTTGAACTGTACCATAAAACTGAGCGTTTTACCATTAATCGCAGATTAAAGTCTGACTTTCCACACATAACAGGGACTCCAAAAATTATGAGTTCAAAAATCATCTCTAAAAGCAAATGGATTTTATCTTTCGCAGTTTATTTTTGGTGCTGATGGGGTTCGCCTCAGTGAGGCTGTCAGAGGTCTGCACTCTGACAGCAGGAAGGGAGACCGAGCGGCTGGGGGGGTAGACAGAGACCTGGGGGGGTGAGGAGCCACGGGGACCGTCACTCAGACAGCAGGGCTGAGCGCAGCGGCCTGCCTTCGCGGCGGCCGGCCTTCCTTGGCATCAGCAGCTCGCTGAAGGGCCTGTGCTTCCCGCCGTGCGTCAGGCAGAGCAGCTCGTCGATGCTCAGCGCCGTCACCTGGCCAGACTCCCGCAGCCGTGCCAGGACACGCTCCAGGTGGCCCTGCAGTGCCGGGCTGTCCTTACTGCGCCGCTGCACCATGCCTACCTGTCCAAAGACAGTGCCAAACCATGCTTCAGGGTCCACTGCCATTTTACAGCTTAGAGAATTATAATCCAATACAACAGGTGCAGAATCTTGTTCCCGGGCACCGTTTCATTCCACCTAATTCTCATGCCAAAGTATAGCTAGACTTAAGCCTAAGAACCACAAGCTTTTCCTAACTGCTTAACGTTAACATGCCCTGAGGCCCTGGGCAGCCAGCTAGCCTTGGACTCGCAGGGTTTTCTTCCCTTTCTCCCTGGATCCATGTTTTTGTTTCAAATTTGCACTGCGGATGCTAATGCTGCTCCTGCTTTATATGCCAGTGATGTGCAGCAAGGCCACTGAGAAAAAACAGAAACGGACCGAATGTAATAACAACAACTTTTAATTATAAGCACTTTGCATACATAGAATGCAGCTCAAAGTGCTTCACATATGGGACTAAAATAAAACCAAAAGACAGAGAAGCAACTAAAGCACAAGCCAATGAAATTGTAGAAAGATGGAACAGATCTAAAAAAACAAGGAAGAGTAAATAAAAGCTGAATAAATAAAAAGATAGATAAATAGGATATACATAATATAAAGGAATGAAAAAGGTCAAAAGGTGTTAAAGTGAAAGCTAGTAAACATTGGAAATGTGTCTCTAATGACACTGATGACATCAAACTGAGGTGAAGGTTCAGGGAGGCACCAGTGAAGCATGACCTCCTATAGCACAAAGTCCAGAAATGTTTCTCAGAAACATTACAGTAAAGAAAACACTGCAGAGCGTCTGACCACTTTGTGGAGCTGCCACTTACCAACTCCTCGGAAAATTCGGGCTTCTTCACGAACGTTGGACTTCTGCAGTCCAGTGCTGATGTCAGAACAGAGAGAATGTCCTTCAGAGCACCATCCATGGCTAATATATACACCTGCACAAAGGACAAATATATCTGATACTTATTAACTGCTCCACAACATTCGTGTATCATGATTCCTGTGCAAAACATTTGCAAACTTTACTCAGAGTGGTCTTAAAGGCACTTTCCATGTCCACCTTTAGTTTAGCTGGGGTGTTTATCTGGTTAATATCCAATTAATGTTATATATTTCAATCCAACCATTAACAGGAAACAATGTATGGATAGCTACGTAACTATCAGTGTGTAAGCGGTGCCTGTAGTATTAATGAATTATGTTTTGGTATATTTATACTTTTAATATTTCATAACTCAGTAACCTTTTTCAACACTTGAATACGTATTTTAATGTTCATTATTATACGAGCACCCAACAAAGAAACACTGCTCAGACATTCATCCAAAAAAAGACAAAATTCTTATAATCCCAAAATGTCAATGAGTAACATGAAATGTAGAAGCTTTAATCAAAGTATTAATACCACAGTATCATAAGTTTGACATAATGATGAGCTTATAATGAGCTTTTAATTCAGAATATCTGCTTCAGACACGGTGTAGCTTACTTGGAGATTCTGGCTTATTCTGTTGCTGGTGGTCATGATCTGTGAAAACAGAGATTTCGCCTTTTCTACGTCCTCCTACGGGAGGAAAAGAAAGTACAGTTCTGTCATGCATAGCAAGATCCCGAAGCACAGGAGAGCAGTGAGAAGTGCTGCAGACTCACCTGTTTGAGTGCCAGAGCCACTGCAAAGTAGTAGGCATGTCTAGGAATAAGGAAACCTTTCATCTGTGCCTCTTCAAGCATCATGATGCAAATTCTGTAGGACTTGGCAGTATTCTGTTGTTAAAAACGCAGATTGAGTTACAAGTGTTAAGGACGTGTTTAAGAAGTATATTATACTTAAGGTGTCTGTGATCAGATTCATGTTCTGGCAAAGTTCTGTCAGGGTACTTTAATGTGATGCCTTAAATATAGCCAGTCGTGCTGCACTTTTAGCTTCATTGTTGTACTACAAAAGTAACTGCAACTCAACAAAAATAGTGCAAAATAAACACACAGACCCTTTCAGTCATTACAGTCAACACAACTGGATAAAGCATGCCAGAATCCTTCAAGTCCAAAAACCAAGGTGGAATATCAAGATACCACAAATCCTACCAGCTTGTAGCAGATAGCAAAGGCCAAAATGAAGGTGTCCTTGTTGAAAGGCACTCCCTGATTCCTCATGTCTGCTAGGACTTCCAATGCACCTGAAATTGTGGTCACTGCTTTAGATGTCTTATACGTAGCAGGTTATATATTTGGCCTGAGTGAGGATTACTGGGTATCCACACAGGTACTGTGTATTTAAAAATTATGACATTGATATTGAAATAGTGACATCTTATCTGAGAATTGTAAAAGTTTAAACAGTACTTAAGTTCAGGTGAACAGCAAAATCTGCAATTTAAATCAGTTAATGTATATGTATTATGGTCTGGTGGTTACTGTATTCATTCAGTACTGGTTTGCACAATTGCTTTACGCCAGTGTATCTTAGTCAATTTAAAAAGTGAATGTATGTTTATTATGGTAGGTAAAGGAAAAATGAAACGCAGATTTGAATATTCGCCGTCTAAAGCATTCTGTCAGTGTAGGCCGGAAGCATGTTAAAAGTAGCATTTTTTGACACCTGGTTGTGCTTCCCTTATGTGGCCATTAAGCTACTGGTCATTTTAATCAAAGCTAAAATGTCAGCACCCAGCTCAACAAGCAAACAACACACCAATGTTTAATATATACAGTATGTGTGAAAAGAATAAAAAACAATTAAGTATGAATACTCAATATTAAAACCATAAACTCCATTAAATAAAATGGAAGTGAAGATCGAAAGTGACTAGAAGCTGGCACAGAATTGCGGCAGCGTGACACGTGCCGCTTCATAAATCACATAAAACAAAGATCATTCACTGACTGGTGCTGAATAAGAGAAACGCAGAATCAAATTCTATTTATAAATACATTATGACAATCACTATGCATCCTGGAATTGAAAACTTCAAACCACACCCTTGCCTTCATGTCAGATAGCCATTTTTCAAACCTGTCATGTTTTTTTTTTTTTTTTTTTTAATACATGAAGGACCAAAGCACTTTCCCCTGTAAGAGTAGATTTATTAAAACCAGGATCTCTTACTCTCATAGTGTCCTTTCATAAACAGCATGTCCATCATGATGTTGAAGGATGTTGAGTCTGGGAAGAATCCTTTCAGACTCTGAAACAAAGAGATAACACACTTGTAACTGGCTTGTCAAAAATGTACTGCAATAGAAAATCCAGAAAAAAAATGTATAAATGTGCAGCAAGTATTATTAGTGACTAGTGAGACACATTTTCCCCTGCATGTAGTAGTTTTATTCTACCCCCAAGCCTTTGTTTTTCTCCCACACGGTTGAATACATTATTGTTTCTGCATAATGGAACTACAATATTCTGCCCTGTTAGACAGCAGCTCCCTCTATTGTTCACTGCTATATAACAGCTCTTACAAGACACGCTGGGATCCCCAAATCACTACAAAATACAGTAGTTGCTTACGGCAAAACAAAAAGTCTTTCCTGTGTGTAAAATATTCTATATATTGTGTGTCTTAGAAAACTGTGTAAATTGTCTAATTGATTTCCCTTTCAGGACTAATGAAGCCCCAATGACAAGCCCAGCAGCCCTCATGAGATCACCTTGTCCTTTATTGTGCATTCTGCCATCTCCTCCATGTTCAGTTCATAGCAAAGCCTCATAAACAGGGGGCCAAACTTGAACTCTGTATAAGTCGCATTTCTGTTGTCTTGATGATACCTTAACCGATCAACAACAAATTAATAACATTACGTGTGTGTGTATACACACAAACACACACACACACAAAATAGTTCAATCAATGGCACAAGACTGCTTCTTCAAACAGCTCTCTGTATTGTTATTAGTTGTTCATTTTCTTACCAGGCCACTGCTTATTCACAGTGACTGCATTTTTATCAAATTACACCACTACAAATTTTCCTACAGCTAGATTACAATTTATTACAGCATAGTCCCTCCAGGACTCAGGACACCAAATGCATGTCCTCAGGCTACTATGCCATACATTGCACAAAAAACACAATTTATAAATATAATTTATTTCATAAACTGTCAATTATTTTGATATTTGTATTTTCGTTTCATGATTCCTTGCATTTTCAACATCAACTGTAAACAGAACAGTCCTATTTCAAAACAAAACATCTATTATTGGCAAGAAAGTTGTCTTCATATGGATCAATTCAGTCCTCAGTAGTGGCTGCCCTCTCAATTAATGTGACATTAATAACTGAAGGGACAAAAAGACTCCTTTAAAACCACTTAATATTTATAATAATGGGAAATGATAATAGTTATGGGAAAAAAATGATTTTCTGCTGAAACAATATATCAGATATAATGCAGTAAATGTTGACACTGCATTAATGTCCACAAGTTAACTCACATTGGTTAGACTGATGGAACAGGATATATACCATTTTCTTCAGTATTATTCCAGATGGTAATTTTATGATCATTCTAAATAGCATGTTGTGTCTGTTGTGATGCAATACAGTTCAAGGTCATTCAGTGTCACTCAGACACAGTGTCAACTGCATAAATCAATGTTTTCAAAATACTAATCTTTCAAAATTACACATAAGAAACTAACCATGATTACAAATAAAAAGTGCACCATAAAAAAAAAAAGAAAAAAACAAACAAACAGTTTTTCCACATGACCCTACCGACAGATGGCAGCTTTAGCGATGATCATGTCCTCGGGTGTCTGGCATAAGTGAAGCAGCACTTTTAATTCATCTCTTAGGATAAGGTCATTTCTTTGTAGCTTTTGTTGAAACATTTGTATATATTCTCCTGAAAAAACAAAGTTGGTGACATAAACCAGGGCATACACCCTCTGAAACAAAGGTATTCACACTGGGGGGGGGGCAAAGGAATTGAAGAGGGCTGCAGGTGAGGAAAAAACATACAGAGAACTGTGTAGGGTATGGAGTTGGGGGAGGATCTATTTCAAAATTGCAATGGTCAGAAACAAGTTATGCAAACACATTATATACATGTACACATTGTATGATGCTAACAAATTAAAACGATTAAAATGTGTGAAACTGAC